ATCGGACAAAAATATATATGGGAGCTATATCTAAATCTGAACCGATTTTTCCTAATTTCAATAGGGTTCGTCCTTGGGCCAAGTAAATGAGCTGTGCCAAATTTCATCCAATGCGAATCAAACATGCGACCTGTACTTTGTTTACAATTTAACATGGACATACGAACGGACGGACATGCATAAATCGACTTAAAGAGTGATTCTATCTCGTTTCAGTCATTGAAAAATAAATTTTTAACCATTGAGCGGAGCAATTTCCATGAATATCAAACTTTCTGTGGTTCTATATTCTGAGCATGGACAATATTTCGCGATATTTGCACACTTTTGACTGGCTAGAGGTCAACAAATGTTACTAATAATCAGTACAGCCCCTCTAATTACTTATCCAGATTCCCTTCACCGTGGGTTGTGTTGTGATGTTCGGCTTCCGACTCGAAATATAAAAATAATTAAGTTTTCGGTCCACTCCATCCGAAAAAATATTATCTAATCATCAATAATATGAATACGTAAGCACCTGTAAATATTTAAGTGTAACTCCCACATCCGAGTACCTACGACAATATAATTCGTAGCAATTTGAAGGTCATGTCCTTCAGGTGTAAATATAAACGCTTTAAAATACAAATGTTGTAATTTTTCACACAAAAGTCAGGGTCCATTTGAAAAGCATAATATGGCATGCTTATACTTTGGTCCGATCCCATCATACATTCAAACTTTCGTGAAGATTGGTCCATAAATGTGGTCTGTATCGTGTTTACAAATTATAATGGCAGACGGACGGAAGGACATAATGTCTATATCGACACGGCTAGTCGAGATATGACGATCGGTATACTTAAAGGACCAATATTTTGCGGCCTTACATACTCATGGGGCTGCACAAAGCTATAATACCCTGACAACATAATTGTGTAGGGTAATTAAAAATGCTTTTAAAAATTCAGGCCTATCAGAGGTTATTGAAAAAATTTTTAAAAAATTCAGGAAATTGAAACAATTTTTAAAAAACTATCAGAGGTCATTGCAAAACCTATTTTTAAAAAATCCACGCCAGGCAGAGGTCATTCAAAACATATTTTTAAAAAAAAATTTGGGCTTTTATCGGATATAATTTCTAACATTAAAATCCCCTGTGTAATAAAATCAACGCCAAAGAACAGCATATTAAACGATCAGGAAACGCACTTCCTTGACTGCGTGACATTTTTCATTAAGTAAATGTTAATTCCCATGCCTTTATTCAGAATGCAAAAAAGGAAATGCTTTGTGGTGGGTCATTTCTATATAATGTTTTCAAAGAATTCCCTAACCTGTTCGACGCTTCACATTCTAGTGTAATAAATATTTTCTTGATGAATATTCATATCATATTTTTTCTGGGTCGTCGTTCCTTTCCATACCCCATTAAATAAGAAAACAATTTCTTTAAATTACATTTATAAATATTTAATTATTCCATTTTAACACTTACTTTATGTATATACTCTTAGCTATTGTTTTTTATTTGTTCTGACCTCATTTGAAATCTAAATCGCTTCTCAACAAAAGACTTATCCGGTCGTATTAAGTAATCTGTATATGTGTGTGTGTTGTTTTTTTGAAGTGGTATTTTCTTTCATAACACTTTTCCTTTTAATTTCCTTAAAATCTTCTCATCATATTTTACCGCATTTATGTTTTTTTTTTGTTTTTGTGGTTTCTTGTTGTGTTTTCCTCCTTTGCTGTTGTTGTTGTTGTCGTCGTCGTTGTTGTTTTCATATGAGTTGAGATAAGTGCTCGTATTATTTGCAATTTTGTTCTTGTTCTTCTTATTCTTTTATACTATTTTATAATAATATTTTGTTACAACACTAACACCAAAGTCAGTCAGTTTGTCTGTCCATCAGTCAACCATTCCGACAACCAACCCACCAAGCATTCTGCCCGCCAACCAGTCATCCCGGCCATATAGCAATCAACAACAATAAAATATACTTAAAAGCTACGTTCTTCATGTAGTATATCCGTTACTTAACTTCCTGTCATAACTTTTGTTATAGCGCACTCCAGCATAGTCTGTCCATTCGTCTCGACCCTCTCTGTCCACCCATCCGCTCTCTTCCTATCCTTCTGTGGCAAGCCTGCCAGTCACTCATTCGGTCTTTGGGTCTTTTGTGCGTCTAAAATACTTTTGTGTTTTTGTGAAAATACTTTATAAGAATTTTTGTTGTTGCTGTTGTAATGTTGCGGTCGGTGTGAAATCTAGGGCGGAGTGTATGAGCTTATTTTCTTCTAGCAAAAGTTTGTTTTTTTTGGACTTGTTTATATGTCTCCTTGACATTTTTTGTTTTGCTTCTTCGCTTAAAGATGAAGAACAAAGTTATTTTGTTGTTGTTAATGTCGGTTCTTAAACTGAGTTGAAACTTCCTACCACAACAGAGTGCATTATTACAATGAACAGTGGTGCAAATGAGCTTCGATGTGGACTCAATACTGCTTAAAGATATTTTGTAGGAATCAAATCATAATTTTTCAAGACCTTCGATAGACGTGGATTTTTATACCCTTCAACACTCTGTGGTACAGGGTATTATGTCTTTGTGCATGTGTTTGTAACAGGCAAAAGGAAACGAAATAGTCACATGGTTCCTTTTGAGAATATGCCTAGAATCACTTTTTAAGTCGATTTATGCATGTCCGTCTGTCCCTGTTAAATTGTAAACAAAGTACAGGTCACATTTATTATCCGAATTGGATGAAATTTGGCACAGATCATCTATTTGACACAAGGTCGAACCCTATTGAAATTGGCAACAATCGGTTCAGATTTAGATATAGCTCCCATATATTTTTTCGTCAGATTTTAGGTAAATAGTGCATCAAAGTACTATATACCCCTCGATACAAAATTCGGCATAACGTACTAAATTAAGTCTAGAGTGATGTGTGTTAAGTTTAGTGAAAATCGGTTCAGATTTAGATATAGCTCCCATATATATTTTCGTCCGTTTTTAGGTAAATAGTGCACCAAAGTCCTTACTTATCCTTCGAGTTGCACGAAATTTGGCATAGCGTTCTGAATTGAGTCTAAAATGATGTGTGTTAAATTTCGTGAAAATCGGTTCAGATTTAGATATAGCTCCCATATATATATTCGTCCGATTTAAGGTAAATAGTGCACCAATGTCCCTATATATTTTCCGATTTGCACGGAATTTGGCATAGCGTACTGAATAAGGCCTAGAATAATGAGTGGTAAGTTTCGGCAAAATCGGTTTATATTTAGAATTAGCTCCCATATATATTTTTCGTCCGATTTTATGTAAATGGTGCACCAAAGTCCCTGTATATCCTTGGATTTGCACGAAATTTGGCATAGCGTACTGAATGAAGTCTGTCCCGCGAAAATCGGTTCAGATTTATGTATAGATCCCATATATATTTTCGTCCGATTTTATGTAAGTGGTCCACCAAAGTCCCTATATATCCTTCGATTTGCACGAAATTTGGCATAGCGTACTGAATTGAGTCTAGAATGATGTGTGGTATGTTTCGGGAAGTCGGTTCAGATTTCAATACAGCTCCAACATTATTTATTTTACATAAATGGTACAACAATCTCCTAATGTTTGTTCGATTAACACGAAATTTTGCACTACGTATCAAATTGAGATTTGAATGACATTATAGCGTTTTGTCGAAATTGGTGCAGCTGCACCCATAGCTTCCATTTCCAACGGGTACCCGATTGAAATTAAATTATTTACAGTGCGTCGTACCGAATAGTGTGTATCAATATTTCTATAAATGATTTTCCATAAATTTGTCCCATGGTACCCAGACGACTCTAACTCTGCCCGAATGAAATTAAATTTATCATAGTTTGCAGAAAGAGGGAATAGTGACATCCAATTGTAAGGATACATATGTACAACATACCCAATGTGGTGAAGGGTATCATATATTCGCCGCAGTCCGACTTTACTACTTTCCTTACTGGTTAAAAAATATTTTGTCAATGACCTCTGATAGGCGTGGATTCTTTAAAAATATTTTTTCAAAGACCTCTGAAAGGCTTGGGTTCTTTAAAAATATTTTTAAAAGACCTCTGATAGTGGTGGATTCTTTAAAGATATTTTTTCAAAGACCTTTGATAGGCGTGGATTCTTTAAAAATATTTTTTCAAAGACCTCTGATAGGCGTGGATTCTTTAAAAATATTTTTTCAAAGACCTCTGATATGCGTGGATTCTTTAAAAATATTCTTTCAATGGCCCTTTCATGGGCCTAAATTTTTATTGTTTTTTCCTTTCTCATTACCGATTTCTATAATTCCATATAACTCACTTTTGTAGTCTTAAGAAGAAGAAGAAAAAACCAAGGTAAACAATTTCTGCTGCAATCAAATACTAACATTATCAAATAGAATAGAAAAGAACCCGCAGCAACAACAGAAAATTAAAAAAATACAAAGAAAATTGGTCGGAATCTCATTCATCATTTACTGCATGAAATAATATCCGTTTAGTTTGCATGTGCCCTGCTTCAATTTTTTTTTGTTTTCGTTTATAGCCGAACATTTAACTGGGTTTATAAACTAAGCAAATACAAATAAACACTGTTTGGGAAAACTACATGCCTACATGCAAACACTTGTGTTTGCACTTACAGAGACACACACATATATTTACATACTTATCTCGATTTTATTTTCTCATTTTCTTTACTATTTTATTTATTTTTTTTCTCTTCGTTCGTTTTTTAGGTTTTGTTTGCCTTCTTCAACAACATCTAAAATATCAAAGTAAGGCAGTCAGGCAAAAGCAAAAACAAAAAAAAAAAAGGAAACATATTTGATATCACAGACACAGAGATAAATGTAGACGACTTCAAGCGGATTTTAAATTGAAAACGTGCTTAGTTTTTATAAGAAAGTCAAAATAAGCAAAACAAGGGTTTTGATACGCCAGCACCCCCTCCTGCTCCTCCTTGTCCACCATATACCTAGACAGCAACAACATTTGCAACACATTTTGCCACAACCACGATGACAGTTAAATTGGCAAAATTATTTAGTAATTCTGCAACGAATAACTCCAGTTCATCGCAGCAGCAACAACAACCGCCACCCTTGCCACCCCCAAATCCCCCACAAGCCTACAACTACTATAATCAGCAACTACCACATTTACAAGCCAAGGCACAGAAACCCTACAATCCCTATATGATGGACGATGAGGATGATAATATGTCTTTATATTCGACAACAGCCTCGATTATGACATCACGAGATCATCCGTTCAACAATTCACAGAGGCCCCTGTTGGCCGAAAGGAAACCACAAGTGGTAGTCAAGCAAAACGGCAACAATAGCAATAAGAAGAAACAGCAGCAGCACAATGCCAGTCAAAAACAGCAACATCAAGAGCACCACCAGCAGCAGCAACAGAAATCCTATATCTCTCCATATGTGCAACAACAGAAACGTGATAGTGCCAAAGGTTTACATGGCTTCAATGATTTCGACATACTCTCTCAGCAATACAATCAGCATTTGCAGTCCTCACCGCACATTGGTTATCCTTACGGTAGTCCGCCATCGCCCACACAAACCTCCAGTGACTTTGTATTTGATACATCAGCAACAACAATCTCCAAACATCCTGCATCAATGACCCGGGGTGATAATAGTGGTAGTAGTAGCATGGAAAGACACAAACATCACCAACAGCAGCAACAACAAAAATTTGCCAGTATTTCGACTGCTTTAACATCAACACCACGCTATGGTAACATTAGCAATTATGGTTCTACCTCTGGAGTATCTACAAATAACTATTACAACAGCAGTACAACGACAGGAGGAATATCGGGAACGTCGTTATCATTATCACGTGGTCCTGCCACCACCTCGCCCTACTACGATGTTAATGAAGCCGATTATTATGGTAAATCTTCACGTTTCGAAGATGATTTTTGTAATCGTCGCAACATTGAGTTCGCCAAATGCCACACCTTGGATACACCATCGTCCACCGCAACCACGGCAAATGGCAGTCATTTGCTGCATGAAGGTCCTTTTATATTTGGCATCGCACCAGAACATCAAACCGATTTTACACGTATGCCGGCTGGTGGCAGGTCATTTGGTGATATATCCGAAGATTCGGGAATTACCAAAGATGATGACAAATACTCCACAAAAGGCAGGGTAAGTGTTACCAAGAAAAAAAAAACTTTGTATATCCTTTTGCCAATATTTCGGTTAACGGTGTTTCGCTGGCGGTCGTCACGTAGCGAAATATTTAAATTTTATTGTGATGGGAAATTGTGTGGACAGCTGTTTTTGATTGAGAAGGAAAGGAGGGAAACAAATATTGTGGAAATGAAAGAATTTGCATGTCTTGTCATTCATAGCGGGTTAAAAAGGCGTGGATTTTTATACCCTCCGTCACACTGTGGGGGGGAATTATGTTTTTGTGCATATGTTTGTAACAGGAAAAAAGGAAACGAGATAGACACCTGGTCCCTTTGGAGAATATGCATAGAATCACTTTTTAAGTCGATTTATGCATATCCGTCCGCCTGTCTGTCCATGTTAAATTGTAAACAAAGTAAAGGTCATATTTATAATCAGAATTGGATGAAATGTGGGACAGGTCACAGGTACACCTTCGGTTGGCCACCAGAAATCAAGCGCGGGCCATTGTGATGGTGTGGGCCGCTATAACAACCGATTGCCGCTCTCCGCTCGCATTAATCGACCGTGGCATCGGAATAAATGCTGAATATTATCGCGAAAATATTCTGGAGGGTGTATTAAAGCCTTGGGCACGCAAACATCTTGGCCGCAGACCTTACAATATGATGTTCATCGCTTCATTTTCAGCGCACAATGACCACCAATGAATATCTCCGGATACCAATATGTTGGACAATTGTGTCTAAGGTATTTTGGAAAGGAAGGTTGGCACTAAAAAATACCAAAGTGTCAATCACCTCAAGCAAACGCTTCGCCGGAAATGGGCCAAAATACCGCAGAGCAACATTCGGGCAGCGTGTGACGGTTTCATTGGTCCTTTGAAGGCCATTAATCGTGCCAAAGGTGACCAATTCGAACAAATCTAAACTTATTTTAAAATTTGATGCAATTTCCGACATTTTTTGCTCTTATTCAAAAAAAATTTAAAAAAAGTAAAAATGATGGCGTTTGACTTTGTTGCAGTTTTTTTTATCTCATCCTATAGTGCACCAAAGTCCCTATATGTCCTCCGATTTGCACGAAATTTGGCAGAGCGTACTGAATTAGGTCTAGAAGCCTGTTTTTGTAAAGAAAATTATTTGCAATATCCTCGAATAGGCGTGCATTTTTTATTTTTTTTTTTTATTTTTCGTAAAGAATATTTTTTCAATGACCTCCAATCGGCGTAGATTTTTAATATATTTTTCAGGGATCACTTGAGACATGGATTAAAAAAATATTTTTTTTTGTAAAGGAAAAGAAACCTTGTTTTTGTAAATAATATTTTTCAAAGGACTAAAATATAAAAAAAAAACGGTAATGAATATCTGAAGCGTGGATTTTTTAAAGAAATTTTCAATGACCATCTGGATAATTAAAAAAATTTTTTGCAAGGACAGTTTGATGCTTAGATTAAAGAAAGTAATATTTTTCAAAGGCCTAGAGAAGTGTGGATTTTATTCAGATTTTTTAAGAAAATGTGTAATGGAACAAAAGAATTGTAGATTTTGGAATACCATTTTTTCAGGGACCAATAGAAGCATGGATACTAGAAAGAATATTTTTTCAAGGACCATCAGAAACCTTGACTTTTGTAAAAACCAACAATAGCGTGGCTTTTGTAAAGAATTTTTTTTTGTTGCAAGGACCAAAATGGACGTTGATTTTTAAAATAACATTTTATAGGAAGCAACATTTTTGAAATATATTTTGAAGGACCAACAACATCGGAGATTTTGATAATATAATTTTTTAAAGGGCCATTAGAATTCAGCTCATAGCTGCTAATAAATTTCAGTTTAAATAAATAAGCAACCAAAAAAAAATTTAAAATGATTTAATAACAAAAGGAACTCTACATCCTGGCATGAATAGCGACAACATTTGCGAAAATTACCCGCGCCAAATGAAAAGAAGAGGTGTATTTGTGAAATAATGCGGTTTCAAACACTTCATTAGCGTAATTTGTAAACTAATACCATCCACTGCTTAATATTCTCGTTTTTTATTCAGTATTTTTTTTTTCTAATACAGCTTTGCTGTGGTGTTTTTGTTTGTGCTTTTCACAGTTTTTTTCCACTTTTTTTGTGTTGCTTGGCCACATTGACAGAAGGCTAGGAAAACGTTTCTATAACCTAAAGCTATATCACCGGCAATAGAGACAAAAAAATAAAAAGAAAATGGAAAAAAACTATATAGTGAAAATCATGCTAATAACCTCATTTAATTAATTCTAGTTCAACACCTTCATCAACGAACAACCGAACGAACGGGCCAGGCAGGGTGTATCATCTTCACTTCACTTTGGCATCGGCGGCAGCATCATGATTGCCACGATGACTTTTAGTAAAGATATGCAACACAAACACACACACTCATACAGAGAGACAATATAGCGTGTAATCTCTGCTCTAACTATTCCTGTTGAGTGTCTAGTGGTCCGTTGGCCCGTCCGTCTGTTTATTTGCCCAAAAACTCAAACGTTTGATGCCATCTTTTAGTCTCCCTCTCTCCATGCATTGGTGTTCGGTTGGTCTACTTACTCTTCACAGATAGTAATGTTGATAATGATGATGATGGTACTGAATGTGTTACTCCAGCGCTCCAGTGTTGTGGTGCATAGAGCATGCAATGCATGCTCTATCCCCCACAAGTCCCCTTTCCCAGCAAACTCCTGGTGTTGAAATATAACAGCGGTGTGAATATCGTTTGCACTTGTGGAAAATTGTTTGCCTCACCCGAACAAAGGGAATCTGAAAAGAATATTTTTGTTCGTTATGGGACAAATGCTTCTCATTAAATTTTATTTAAACTTGATGTGCCAAAGAGAATAAAGAATGGGAAAAAATGGAACAAAGGACGTGAATTTTTTTCGCTTCTTTTCTTTATTCCTTATTTTATAGGGATTTTAAAAGAACTTTTAGGGAAAATGCCTTAAGGTTTTTCCGTCGCAACAGAAGGGTGATTAATTTTGGATGAGAGAAGACGTGGCGTGGATTTTTAAAATATTTTTTGTAGACCAACACAAGGCGTGGATTTTTAAAAATATTTTTTTGTAGACCAACACAAGGCGTGGATTTTTAAAAATATTTTTTTGTAGACCAACACAAGGCGTGGATTTTTAAAAATATTTTTTGTAGACCAACACAAGGCGTGGATTTTTAAAAATATTTTTTGTAGACCAACACAAGGCGTGGATTTTTAACGTGGATTTTTAAAAATAAATATTTACATATGCTTACGAATACAGGTATTATTTAGTAACTCTTATGACACTAGAGGACGAAATATAGGCCTGATTGCTATGAAAATTTCCAGAGGATCCAGGTATGGTCATGGACAACGCCCATAATTTTCGGTGATGATCAGATAAAAATATTGAGAGGAAATGAACCGAAAACTTAATTTTTGTGTTTTTTCGAGTCGATCTATAGGCCACAATTATAAGCCGAACATCACAACACAACCCACGATCAAGGGAATGTGCACAAGTAATTAAAAGTGATGTACTTAATATTAGTAATATTCGGAAAATATGTCAGTTTAAGGAAGAGACGCTGTTGAATTATAATTTTCATACACGATACGAGAATGCACGAAATATTGCCCAGGCTCGGAATAAACATCCGCAGAAAGTTAGAGCTCCGTGGTTGGTGTGTAGGGTATCGTATGGTCGGCCCGTCCTACTATACTGCTCCACTCACTGGTTGATTAGATTATTTGATTTAATTTCATCCCAAAAATAAATTATAATTCCTTTAGAGAGCATTCCTGTAACATTTTCCGTTCCATTCCACCACCTTCTCCTCCCCCCTCATTAATGCCAAGATATTAAGACCATGTTTTTACTTTCGGTTCTTTTGTTACCATCTCTTGACATGCCCTATTATAAACTCATAGAACAGCATGGGGTTTTGGTTCTGTGTGTTTTTTATTTAGCTTCGAACAACAAGTAACACCACCAAAGGCATCGGCAGCACTTTCAACCAGCATGAGACAATTATAATAATTTCTTCTTAGTTTTTTTTTATTTTTTGCAACGTTTTTGTTTTTCCTTTATATATTTTTTTGTTCTTTCATTTCGCGATAAATAAAGTTGTGGAAAAAATAAGAACTATTGTGTGTCAGGGAATTGTGTAGCGAGATCTGAAAAAAGCAACAGGAAATATAATGGCTAAAAAATGAATTACGAAGGGAACGTCAATGATGCCAGAGGAAGAAAAAGAAACTAGGAGAAAAAAGGGAATGCACTGCGCTGGGAAGAGATCCTATTTTATATTTCCGACCTCCTAGGGGGACTGGCATATGATGAGCGTTAAGTTCTTATTGTTCGAAATTAGTACGTTAATATGTCAGTAATTTACTATTATTAAAGTCGGGAAATTTTTTTCTTCAATGAAGAAGAATGAAAGGAATTAATTGCACTAAAATGATTGGCGTTAAGGATTGGAAATTTAAAAAGAAGTGGGATTGATATTAGATTATTTTGTTTATTTTAGATTATTAAATGTTTCTTTAAATATAAATATTTTTTAAAAAATCCACGCCTCATATAGTCTTTGAAAAAATATTTTTTAAACCAGTGAGCAGAGCAGTATAATCGGACGGTGCCGCCCATATGATACCCTACACAACTTCTACGAAAATCTAACTTTATCTGGTTGCATATTCTGAGCTTGGACAATATATCGCAATATTTGCACCCTTTTGACCGGCTAAATATCAACAAATATTTCTAATATTCAGTATACAAGGGTTGTACTTGTCCATATTCTCTTTACCGTTGGTTATGTTGTGATGTTGGGCTTTCAATTGTGGCCTATAGATCGACTCGAAAAAATCCACACAAATTAAGTTTTCGGTCCATTTCATCCCGAAGTTATTATCTGATCATCACTGAAAATTGTAGGCGTGGTCCTTGACCATAACTGGAATCTCATGGAAAATTTCAAAGCGGCCAGTGCTATATTCCGCCCTCTAGTGTGGTAATGGGTTACTAAATAATATCTCAGTATGAAAACACCTGATATTACCCTTGCTATTATATGGATCTTGCGCAAGCAGACGATGCATTTTTTGGGGTGTTTGAGAGAAAAATGCTCCGAAAGATCTACGGTCGATCTGCGTCGACGCTGAATATCGGCGTCGAATGAACCATGAGCTTTACAATTTTCACGCGGACATCGACAAAGGCCATGTGGTGCGATGGTAGAAGTAGAAAACAACATCTTGGAACGTGGTCTTCCAAATCGGTTTATAGAACAACCGTTATGTAACAAGCCAGCTAAGAAGAAGACGTAAACACCCTTAAATATATAAGTGTAACTCCCGGATCTGTGTACATACGACCATATAATTGGTATCAATTTAAAGGTCAACCACTCCTCCTGAGGGACAAATATATACGGGGCAAATATATACGCCATAGAATATAAATTTCGTAATTTTTCACACAAAAGTCAGAGTCCATTTGACCCGCTAAATATTGACCAATCCTTATCAAAACAGGCATGTCTATTCTTTGGCCCGATCCCCTTCTCCGTGTAAAAATTCGATGTTTGTCAATAATTGCGGTCTCTGGAGCGACCAGAAAATCAGAAAAATAAAGTTTGCACTATAAATTATTGGAGTTAAGGATTGGAAATTTAAAAAGAAGTGGGATTGATATTAGATTTTTTTGTTTATTTTAGATTATTAAATGTTTCTTTAAATATAAATATTTTTTAAAAAATCCACGCCTCATATAGTCTTTGAAAAAATATTTTTTAAACCAGTGAGCAGAGCAGTATAATCGGACGGTGCCGCGCATATGATACCCTACACAACTTCTACGAATATCTAACTTTATCTGGTTGCATATTCTGAGCTTGGACAATATATCGCAATATTTGCACCCTTTTGACCGGCTAAATATCAACATATATTTCTAATATTCAGTATACAAGGGTTGTATTTGTCCATATTCTCTTTACCGTTGGTTATGTTGTGATGTTTGGCTTTCAATTGTGGCCTATAGATCGACTCGAAAAAATCCACACAAATTAAGTTTTCGGTCCATTTCATCCCGAAGTTATTATCTGATCATCACTGAAAATTATAGGCGTGGTCCTTGACCATAACTGGAATCTCATGGAAAATTTCAAAGCGGTCAGTGCTATATTCCGCCCTCTAGTGTGGTAATGGGTTACTAAATAATATCTCAGTACGTAAGCACCTGATATTACCCTTGCTATTATATGAATCTTGCGCAAGCAGACGATGCATTTTTTGGGGTGTTTGAGAGAAAAATGCTCCGAAAGATCTACGGTCGATCTGCGTCGACGCTGAATATCGGCGTCGAATGAACCATGAGCTTTACAATTTTCACGCGGACATCGACAAAGGCCATGTGGTGCGATGGTAGAAGTAGAAAACAACATCTTGGAACGTGGTCTTCCAAATCGCTTTATAGAACAACCGTTATGTAACAAGCCAGCTAAGAAGAAGAAGACGTAAGCACCCTTAAATATATAAGTGTAACTCCCGGATCTGTGTACATACGACCATATAATTGGTATCAATTTAAAGGTCAACCACTCCTCCTGAGGGACAAATATATACGGGGCAAATATATACGCCATAGAATACAAATTTCGTAATTTTTCACACAAAAGTCAGGGTCCATTTGACCCGCTAAATATTGACCAATCCTTATCAAAACAGGCATGCCTATTCTTTGGCCCGATCCCCTTCTCCGTGTAAAAATTCGATGTTTGTCAATAATTGCGGTCTCGGGAGCGACCAGAAAATCAGAAAAATAAAGTTTTTAGTCAATTTTATCCCCTAAATATTAGGCGATCTTTACCGAAAACAATAGGGGTCTTCATTGGGCATAACCCATCCTACATGCAAAATTTCGTGAATATTGGTCCATAACTGTGGCCTGTATCGTGTTTACAAATTATAATGGCATGACGGTCGGACGGACACATATGTCTAGATCGACTTAGCTAATCGAGATATGATGATCGGTATACTTAAAAGTGGGTTTAGAACCAATATTTCGCGGCGTTACAAACTCTTGGGGTAGCACAAAGCTATAATACTCTGACAACATAGTGGTCCACGCATTGACATAGTCTTTGAAAAAAATATTTAAAAAAATCGACGCCTTATCCATGCCTGACTTTAAAAAATAATTTTTAAAAAATCCACGCTTCTAATATTCTTTGTGGAAATTCTAATATTCTTTGTGGAAAATATTCATGCATGTTTTTATATAAGCAAATATTTTTCCCAGACAATAATATTTTATTAAGTGAAATATATGATTTAATTTTTCTTTCTGTTATTAATTTATTATTATA